AAGAGCAGTTCCCACCAAGGAGCTGTAATTTCAAAGGGGAGAGAAATGTTTGGTCTGAAAGGGAAGAGTGATGGACACAGAAGGGCCATTCATCAATATTAGGAAATGGAAGATTTCTCCCCAGATAAAACCCAGTTTTAGATATACAGAAAATCTTAATTGGCAAAAGGACACCAGTCAACCTGAACTACAGCTAAATTAATAAGGTGTCAGCATTATTAAGGAGCTCCATTCTTCCGAGGTGGGTAAAATGAGGACCCAGATTGTTGGGGTCAATAAGCTGACTCTGTAAACCACTTAGAGAGGTTCCCCTCTCAGATTTTAAGGGGAATTATGGCCTTCAGGGATGGTAGGAATGAAAACCATCTTTGTTAGTTACTGATTCATGTTTTTCTGAAAGTTGTTTTCCTTCATCAGAGGGAATCTCCAAGAATAGAATAGACAAAAATCCACTTCAGTGGCCATATGGACTACAAAGATTGGAGCTGGAGTCCCAACATAATATAAAACGAAAGCTCAATCCATGGCACTTCCTAGAGGCTTTCTCCTGAATCAGGACTACAATAGACCTTTCTACAACAAACATATACTATTAAAAGTCCAAAACATTTATGAGCTGCAGCCCACTTCATCAGATGCATCTGGTGACTTGGCTGATATAGGATTTCAATGTGGGGTGCAGACAGAGAAGCAAAGGGTGGGACCAAAGGGCCATTCATCAGTATTAAAATGAGATGAAGGATTTCTGCCCAGATCAAACCCAGTTCTAGGTGTATACAAAAGGACACCAGTCAACCTGGACTGCAGCTAAACTCATAAGGTTTCCCCAAAGAATGAAGGCTAATGGCATTGCCTCCCTTCCTGGCCCATTTAAATGACTTTATTGTTTACCAGGATGAACCATAGCAATAGCACTTAGACTTATATACCGCTTTACAGTGCTTCACAGCCCTCTTTAAGCGGTTTAAAGAGTCAGCCTCTTGCCCCCTACAATCTGGGTCTTCATTTCACCCACCTCAGAAGGATAGAAGGCTGAGTCAACCTTAAGCTGGTTGGGATCGAACTGCTAGCTGTGTGCAGAGTAAGGCTGCAATGCTGCATTATAATAGGATGAATGGATGGAAGGAATGAAAGCAGCAATAGCACTTAGATTTACATGCCACTTTACAGTGCTTTTACAGCCCTCTCAAAGCGGTTTACAGAGTCAGCCACTTTCCCCCTACAATCTAGCTCCTCATTTTACCCACCTCGGAAGGACGGAAGGCTGAGTCAACCTGGACCCTGGTGGGATTCAAACTGCCAAATTGCAGGCAGCCAGCAGAAGTAGCCTGCAGGACTGCATTCTAACCACTGCACCAAACCCTATTTGGCATTTTGTCCTTGTTTCTAAGATCCGCGTTGATGTTGAGTTTAGAAAGAGATGCTTCTGTTTTTAAGAGAGAGAGAAAAGATACAATCATGTCATGTCTTGGTGGACTTAAGGTCTTCTTTATTAGCAGGGAAAACCAAACCAATAAAAATGTTTCACTTCCTTTCAAGGGGTTTTGGTCTCACTTCTCTATTCAAATCAAGCACTGTGCACCCGTTCCCGATCCAAACTACACAGTAATATGTAGCCTCGTCTTCCACCAAGGCACCTGTGATGGTCAGAGACATGATGTTCCCTGACCTGGAGCCAGAGAAGCGGGCTGGGACACCTGAAGGCCTGCTGCTGGTGCTGTGTATTAAGAGCCTTGGGGTCTCCTCTGCCTTGTGCTGGATCCATCGTGGGTAATTGTTGTCAGCGATGGTTCCTCCACTGTATCTACAGGACATGGTGATGGTCCCTCCTTGAGCTACAAAATCTGGATCTTTCAAGCTCTGCAGCTGCTGGATGCTTGCTCCTGAAAGAGGACGTGGAATTTAGGAAACAAAATAAAACATGGAATTAAGGAACATAAGGTAAATCTACCCTATGCAGCCAAACCACAGCCAGCACTGCATTCCACATGAAGACCACCAAAAGGATTTTTCCCTCCTGTCCTCTGATTCCCTTGGTCTCACCTAAGGAAGACAGGATGGTGAGGAGCAGAAGTACCCAAGCCATGATGGACAATTAGATAATCTTCCTAGACGAATCCATCAGTCATTGGCTTCAACCTGGCCTCTCTTAAATCCCTAGAGGGGGGAAATACAAGTAGCATGCAAATTAGGTTGTTCTCAAAACCATGCAGATCCCTGCTTTGGCCAATCAGGAGGAGTGTACAGTTAGCAAAAGGTGCAGACTGTAAGTTATTGATTAACACATGACATTTGTGAGCTTAGAGATGAATCGATAAATAGGTTGGATAAGGGTTCATAGCATGAACTGGAGAATCTTAGGATGAAATCCCAACTCTACCCTTAAGATTGTTGGGTTGTCTTCATCCATGGTCTTCATTTGCTCTATTTCACTATATATAATTTCTCTAGGAAAATAGTAAAATAGTAAAATCATCAAGATACCTCAAGGTGCCTTTTTTCAAAAAGGCAACTGGACTATGTTTTTTCTTGAGAAAGAATTGATTTTTTTCCCTTGAAGAAGAAGCTTCCCTTCTCATTCAAGAGGCTTCACCAGTTCTGACAGGATGGTGGGAAGATGTGTCAGACCTGATGAAGCCTCTTGGATGAGAAGGGAAACTTCTTCTTCAAAGAAAGAACATTTCTTCCTCAAGGAAAAACATAGTTGAGTTGCCTTTTGGGAGAAAAAAAAATCACTTTTGAGACAACCATGACCTGGATGATTGAGAATCTCCATAGACCTCAAGATATCTAGCAGGAAAGACAATATATCAGCATAAGAAATAATCTCAAGATTCTTATTCAGGATCCAGTAGACCCCACAGATTGAAGAATTTCTTTATTTGTTTGCTTAAATTTACTAATATTACTGTTGTTTCCCATGGATTCTGCCATGTTTTGATTTTTACCCTGTTTTGGTTAGTTGTGTTTCGTGGGAAGAGAAATACGATGCAAATAGTGGGCAGTGAATAAATTCCATATTTGCTTCTCCACTACAAAGAACTGAAGGTGGACTATCATGACTCAGAAGTAAACTCCTCAGCCTAGTTGATTATCATCCTTTGTTTCTCCCTTCTGTGTTTCTATCCTATGCTATAAACCACCATTGCAATTAGACCAACATAGGGATATTACCAGCCTTATCTAGAGGGAAAAACATGTTTTCTCATTCCTGCCATCAACCTGAAAATCAAGCTTCCATCAACTAGAACTGCTCCTTGGACTAAAATGTCAGACTGAGTTTGACATGGCAATTCTGACCTCTACTGGTTGAGTCACTATAACCTCAAGGTAGTTTTGGTGTTGGCCAAGGCAGGTGCCAAGATTCTCTTCAGCAAAAATAAAGAGGAAGCATAGTGACCAACATCAAAGGAAATGGCAAGTTTACACCCACTTTTTCATGACTCTAAAGATGGTGGGTGAGAAGGAGGAATGGGAAGGAAAACATAGTTTTGAACCAGAAACACAGAATTTTTTTAAAAAACCTAAAGTGGACGACAAACAAAACCATACAGGAGAAGTTCCCTTGTAAGCAATGTGAGAATGTTTGGAGAGTCCAAAGATTCAAAATTGGAAGAACTGTTGACAGAGCCAGAAAAGGGAGCTGAGATTTTAAAGGGTCTCTTAGTTTGCTCGTATATCTGATCTAAGGTGTTGTATTAATTTTCAATTTCTTCCTACTCCTTTTGGTACAAAAGATTCTCACTGTTTCTCCAAATGATGCTGAACGAGAAGGGGGCTGATTCAAAACAACCAGGGCCAAAATCTTGAAAGACGTTAAAGAGTAAAGAAGAATTTCCACCAAGGAGGTGTAATTTCAAAAGGGGGGAGAAACGTTAAATTGGAAAAGGATGAGTGATGGACTCAGAAGAAGCTTCTCTGAACAGAAATGATCAATAAGAATCAAAAAGTGTGTGTCCAGATCAGAAGGTGGATAAGATCAGGAGTAGAGAAGGCCAGCCCATAGGTGGAATGTTGAATAAAGATGTGCAACATGGCTGTTGTCTCCAAATGGGATATTATGTGAAGTGCTTTGAGTGGATCTGAATGCTAAATGAGACGTATCCACAGGTCAACTGATCCCATTCCATCCACCCACCATAAAGTCCCTGTCCAATTGCAGCATCCTTCTAAAATTCAGATGTCATCACATCCCCAAGAGTCTAAAACAGAATGACAGGCGTGAGGAAACACCTGATATTTTAAGAGGAACCAAGAACAATATGTCACCCGTTGGCAAGTCATGTATATCGGACAGCACCTGCTGCAAGGTTTTTGTTCAGCTCTTCAATGGGCTTGTATCACTGTGAAAGTGCCAGCACTTACAAGATACAGGCAATAATAATCAGCTTCATCCTCTGCCTGAAGACTGGAGATGGTTAACACAGCAGATGTTTTAGAGTTTTCAATAGAACCAGAGAATCGTTATGGGATTCCAGAGGCTCTGCTGCTATCAGCATATATAAGGAGTTTGGGGGCATTTCCAGGCTTCTGTTGATACCAGGAAGAATCCCCTGTGTCAAGGGTTCCACTGTTTTTAGTACAAGTGATTCGGATTGTCCCTCTAAGAGATCCAGACACAGATTCTGGTTGAGTCAGGACAACTTGGGAGAAAGTCCCTGAAAGACAACAAAGTTGACAGGAAAGACTCTATCAGCACCATCTTCATTTCAATCAGAAGAAATGTGTGGTAGGAACAGAAATTAGGGGATGATCTCTGAATGATCAGTAGATAGAGGAAGGTTACAGTCACAGCAGTTTTAGTAGAAACCCCAAGACATAAATTACCCAAAAAAGAGGAGGAGACGATGAGAAGAAGACACAGCCAAGCCATGGTTGAAGGTGGGGGGTCAGAACTGAATTATCTGCAGATCCAGCTGTCCTCTCTGCTGTTAAGCCTTTGGCCAGTGGAGAATTCAAATTCATGCAAATGATCTTCCTGCTCATTGAACCATCCTGAGATATCAAAGCCAGCTTCAGATGAAAGGAAAGACCTTCCCTTGATTGTTTCTTCCTGCCTGAGCAGGGGTTGGACGAGAAGACCTCCAAGGTCCCTTCCAACTCTGTTATTTTGTTATTCATTTTGGAGATCATGATTTGCTGATGCAGCTTTTGAGGAGACCATCCTGTTTGGTTAAGTGAGAACATTTGGAAAGGATTTCAGCTCACCTGAGGTGTAGAAAGCATGCATGAAAATTGTCTTTATTTTATGTCCTTCATCCTTCCTTCCTTCAGTGTGAGACAGATCTCTCTCAGCCTTTCAGGGAAATTGTGACTTATTTCAGGGATGTTAAGAATGACAACCCTCTATGTTGGGTCACAAGTTCATGTTTTCCTGAAAAATTGTTGTGCTCATCTGACAGGATCTCCAAGAGTTGACAACAATCTATTTATTTATTTATTTAAATTGATTAATATTCAAACTCTTTCCCATGCATTCTGTTATATTTTGATTTTCATCTGTTTTCTGTCCCTTGAGAAGGGAAATAACACATTTTCTCATCATTACTGACAGCCTGAATAACAAGCCTCCTTAAAAGAGAACTGGGTGGAGTAAAATTTCAGACTAAGTTTTGAAAACACAGCAATCCTGACCTCTACTGGTTATGTCACTCAAGCCTGGGCAAAGCAGATGCCAAGACTCTCCTTGTCACAATAAAGGAGGTGTATAGCGACCTACATCAAATGTAAATAGCATGTTTAAATTTATTTTTTCATGACCCTAAAGGAGGTGAAGGACAAAGAAAAATGGCAACATAAGGGAACATAGTTAGGACCAGAGGTGGTATTCAGCAGGTTCTGACCAGTTCTGGAGAACCGGTAGCAGAAATTTTGAGTAGTTCGGAGAACCAGCAAATACCACCTCTGACTGGAGGTTTTACAGTATCCTTCCCCTGCCACGCCCACCAAGCCACACCCACAGAAACGGTAGTAAAAATTTTTGAATCTCACCACTGGTTAGGACCCCTAACCCTAGAACTAACTCTAACCTTATAAAACCATAGATTTTTTAAAAAAACACCTAATGTTTAAGACCAACAAAAGCAACAAAGTAGAGTTCAGTTGTAGGCAATTTGAGAGGGATTGAAGATGCTCAAGGAGACAGAATTGGAAGAATTATTGACAGAGCCAGAAAAATGAGTGGAGCTTTTAAAGAGTATCTTATTTTGCTTATGTTTCTGATGGGGACACTGCTGATCGCAGGAGCTGTATTAATCTGCAATGTTTCCAACTCATTTTGTCAACAACAAATCCCGATTCTTTCTCTGTGGGATGCTGAAAGAGAAGGCTACAAGATTAAGGACAACCTGGACCAAAAGATCCGAAAGGAAGCAGAGAAAGTTTCAGTCCAAGCAGTGTAATTCCAAAGGGGAGAGGAATGTTAGATGTGAAAGAGAAGAGTGAAGGACTCCAAAGAAACTTCTCTGATTAGAATTGATCAGTAAGAACGTGAGCGTCCCAGATCAGAAGGGTTGATGTTAGAAAATCAAAAGTTTTCCATCACTATGGCAGTGGACCAGGGGTGGGATTCAAAATTTTTTATTACCAGTTCTGTAGGCATGGCTTGGTGGGCGTGGCTTGGTGGGCATGGCAGGGGAAGGTTACTGCAAAATCCCCCTTCCCTCCCCACCCCACTAACCTCCTTTCCAGCTCCGTTCTCCTGGGCAGGGCAACCAAAGAAGACCCAGCCGATCAGCTGGGACTCAATGGGAGGCAGAGTAGAGATGGGGTTGGTGGGGCCAGTCAGAGGGGGTATTTGCTGGTTCTCCAAACTACTCAAAATTTCTGCTACCAGTTCTCCAGAACTGGTCAGAACCGGCTGAATACCACCTTTGCAGTAGATAGAAAAGGAGAAGACATGGCTAGGTTGTAGCTGGAATGTGGGATAAGGATCCAGAATATGGCTGTTTATCTGGGTGAATCTCTATGTTAAATGATTCATAATCCATAATTCAGTGGCTCCCTTTCCTTCCACCCACTATGAAATCCCAGACTGATCACAACACCCTTGTGGAATTCAGATACTATCAGATCTCTAAGAATCTAAGTAGGTGTGTGACAGCAGGAAGGAAGTA